CTTGCACACGGGCCCTCCGAGATTTTTCGCCCTTGTCCGAGAAGGCTAGGTGTAGATCTTTCCTACCAGAAGATCAGGGGTGGGGCAGAAAGATAGCTGTAAGAAGGAGTCAAGGAGTAGCAGGAGAAAGGCTGCAGAGAGAGTCAGGAGGTGAGGGAGTGGGGGCAGAAAGAGGAGACGAAAGCAGACGACAGAATATTGCTAGAGAGCAGGAAAAGAGGTGAAAGGAGACAATTTTAGAGAAGAAAATTTTTCGGTTGCTACCCGGATTCGAACCCTGGACCTTTGAATGAGAGGCTAACACCTTAACCTCTAGGCCACGAGAGCCTCCCTAGCAGCTCTGGAGTTATGCAGATTTTTATTATTATTATTATTTTCTAAAATTTTGATTAATATTTTACGTCCCCATACTCACTTAAGATCTTTTGATTTTTAGAAAAAAATGCAGTTTCATAATCTGTGATATATTTTGTCAAAATTCAAATTCTGAATTCTGAGAAAAGCAATAAAAGATACATAAGTTCAGTTGTTGAAATGATTAACGATTATTTTTATCTCTGCTGAAAAATTTGCTTTCTGGGCTCAGGACATTTGAACAGCTTGCCAAGTTCACTGAGAGACTCTGCCTGATTTTATTTCATGTTTGAAAAGTTTTTTATTGAAAGTTTTGATGAGAAATTTGCATATGTAAAGTTGTTTTCGACAACAGTTCTGGTGATAAGCTGTGGTATGTTTTGGCACTGTCTGGTATCTTATCTTGAGAGTGAGGCCAGGTCTCACCTCTTGAAATGGCATGTTTTTTTCACACTTCACTGTTGCCAGTAGTAGTAGTATGGTGTTATATCCTGGAGCCTGTAAGCCAGACTAGTGTTGTAGATTTACAAATGGTTATTTATCATCTACATACAAGTATCTGGTTCCTGTGGTGCAATGGTTCTTCCCTTTAATCCTTGTCACAAAAAAAAAGAGTTAGAGTCCTGTATGGGGATGGATTTTTTATACTTAAGTTTCTTAAGGTTTGTGATGGGATGCTGTATCTCCTCTTAGCTTGAGGTGGCCCCGAAAGGCAAGGTGGAAGGCATCTCGTAGGTGATACAAATTGTGTCAGTTGGTATACAACATACAACACCCTCGTAAATTTTTTAAATTATAATAACAAAATGTTTGCGAAGAATTTTATTGATAAAATGGAATTAATTTATTACAAATAATGAATTGGTGGAAGGGGGTGGGATTGAAGATATCAACACGACCATGAAAAGGAGATGATAGTGATATTTAGGACATGTTTTAAGAATGCTCATGACGAGATTGTCCAATCAGACATGGCATTAGAGACCAACTGAAAAAAAGCAAAAGAGGTAGACCAACTGAAAGCTACACAGGTACAATTAGGGGTTAGGCAGTCACCAAGGAGCTTAAAACAACCTGTAACCTCCTTAACAATCACCCGGGGCCTAGATGTGCCGAGATTGGAGAAGGTGGTCAGAAACAGACCAGCGTGTCGTCGACTGCTCTCCGCCTTCTATACCTCACGGTATAAGGAGGAGAGTAAAGTAGGTTGTTTTTAATTCTCTCTATAGAGCAGTATTGTCTCGAGGTGTCACCAGTTCAACTAATCCAGATGAAATGGTCCTAGGTCCTAGTTATAATATCTTCACTTGGAGGAAAAGGGGGGGGGGTCATCCACTGGCTTGGCCCTTTTGCTGAGACATTGTATCCTACTCGGCAGGGTCGAAGCTCGCCTTTTTCGTAGGGGCTTAAGAAACACCAACTTTAGAAAAGAAAACATTGAACATTTTTATTTGGAAGAAGATGGCGAAAATGAAAGTTAAAGGGGGAGGAAGCCAGTTGTTGCATTTGCCATTTTGAAAATATCATTTTAGGAATAAACATGCAGTTTTTGTTGTTTGTTGTTTTCTGTGTGGAACAATTGAGTGGCGCTGTGAAAAACAAACATTGATGTTAATGCTCTGAATGTGCGTGATAATTGCTCTGATAATGGAAACGGGAAGATGTTTTGAGTCAATTCCACTTTCTGGATTCCATTTAGGGGGTAAATCTAAAACAATTATTTCTGTAAATGAAATGAATGGCGCTTTTGAAGTTTCTGTTGAAGTGCTTTGCTGTTGGCAGTCTACTTGCTCTGCCAGAGGCGGGATAGCGGTAATTTCATATCTTGGTCCGAGTGTAATGAAATATGGAATATTATTTGCTTTTTTTCGGTCATTTCCAGGTAAACAGTTTTCCTCCGCCAGGAAAGAGGCTTTTCTTTGACGACCTTTTTCAAATTTCTGTGTCTTCTTTTTCTCTCAATCTCTGTACTGTGTTGTTGTATAATATGTATTTATAATCATTTACATACTACATAGTATACATGCGGTAGAGGGAGGGGGGGGGAGAGAAAAAGGGAACGAGAGAGAAAGAAAAAAAGAGAGAGTGAGTGAAAGAGAGAGAGAGAGAGAGAGAGAGAGAGAGA